CCTACAATTCCACATGCAGGCATTCCAGGATCGTCGTGTGACACGTAGAAAGTTCAAACTTGAGCACACCCTGGGAAAAATGCCCGAATGGCGGTGCGAAAACAGAGAAATTGATATGGGAAAAGGTGTGTGTGTGTGCGAATTTGCTAGTCTCGCGCTATCCACGTATATGCAAATGAGCGACGAGAGCGCAACTTTGGGCCTCAAACCAACCCCCAGCAAATAGTGGTAGTATTGTGACAAACTCTCTCTGGGTTGTATAATGTAAAATAATTTATAATGGCAAAAGTGGTTGCCAGCGCTCTCGTGTGTGCTATGTAATTATTCACATAAAACCACTCTTTAATCATTTCAACTGGTGTGTATTCAATTTTCATGATTTACTCAAACATTTCAATTATTCACTGAATATTACAATATTTCAAACCGCCTCTCCAGAGTCTCTATTGCGCTTATTTATGACGAAAACAGCCACTCATTCACAGTCAGTCTCTCCATCTGCCCTCACATTCAAGTAATTTAATTCCTCCACCATTCGATTTGCCATTGTCAATCGATTGAAATGTGTTCGCCATCGAGGAATATGTCTCTTTTTAATTATACTCTTTTCACCTCGGACATTCGCGCGAGTCGACCATTTGAGAATTGAATTTTTAATTTAGCCATACATGAGGTTTTCCCCGATGAAAAAACAAACACTTCCCGGAGATTCATTAAAAGCTCAACGCGATTCAACCTATCCGGGAATTTTATAGTGTGGTGTAAATTTGAGATTCAACATTCTCAGGCTGATGACTCTAGCAACATTTCTGCAATACTCTCATCTTTAATGACTTCGCTTGAGGAATACAAAATCTGTTTGCAATTTATACCGCTCATGAGTGAAAGACTTGAGCTTTTGCGGATTACGTGGAGAAATTTTCCGCTGACTTCATTACAATGCAAGAGAATGTGTCGTACTTTCCTGGAGGTTAAATACATTTAATGTATTTTATGCTGAGTTGGAATTATCATCTGACAAAAGGTAATCTTCAAATACGAGCAATGAAAATCCTGTCATGCTCACGCTAGCACAATCATGCTTCTTATTGACATTTCTATGGCACGATAAGAAGATGTGCAGAGCCTCGAATGCTTTCAGTTTCTTCTGGCTGTTCAACAAATTCCCAGTATTAATAATGCATTTTATTTGTCCAGCATTTCGCATTGTGTCATAAATACAGTGTCAAACTTTCGGGAAAACTTGACACTTTTCCGCTGTAAATAATTTAACTATCAATAAAAGTTCCGAAACTTTTCCGCGACTAAGAAGTGGGATATTTATTGAGGATTCAGCACTTAATTTGTGAAAGATTGAAATAAGCGCACAACTTTGGCCCTGAAACTGTGGCAATTGACATAGTTTTTCATCCCCAAAAATTAACTGTTAAGGATGTCTCGAAGGCGAGGGATTGTATTTATTGCCTAAGTCATGAGCAGTTGTCTGTGTATCAAAAAGGGGAAAACTTTCCAAACCATATTTTCACCATTAAATTTTATACACTCTCCCAGATAAATTACGCAGAATTTTGTATTTTCACCCTTGCATAGCATGGAAAATCGGCGGGGTTTTAAGTCAACTCATCCCGGACAAACCCCAGCGATGGAATTTTGCTGATACAATATCAAAATTCTATCTATCAACATCTCTCTATCGCTCCAAGTCCACAGAAGCAACGAAAGTGCTCTATATATGCGTAATTATAAAATTACTTGCCTCTGGCTTGAATTCCCAGATAATTTATCATTGTCGCTGTTGTGTCTAAGAGAAAATTTCACTTGTGCCGGAGGTTTTCCGAGGATATCTCGTCACCCTCCCCAAAGGGAGAGAGAAAATGCCGAAGCGGGAATGTGCGGCTGATGACATAAGCGATGGAAAATGCTGGGAAGATTGAAAATGGCTTCTCTATCGAATCAAACTTGAATTAATTGGAAGCATAAAATTTAATTTGCGCCAATTAGTCTGAACCCAATTTGAGTGCCGTGTAGCATCTTATATTTTACATCCCAGCCAACACTTATAAACACATAAAGTATTTTCTTGATGGTGTTAATTAAATTCTTCAGTGTTAAATTGATAAACTGATACGAGGAGTGGATTTTCTGCCCGATGGCTGCCAAGCATTTTCACACTTCGCGTCCCGTTGTAACGGTTGAGGAATTTTCATTACCCCCTCGAGTGTGGGGTGTGTTTTTCGGGGGGAGAGAGAGAGAAAAAAGAAACTTTCCCTTGCCAGACAGTGTCACCAAAGACGATGAGGTCCACTTTTCCACAGACGAACAGCGCCAAATTTTGCACCCAGTATTTTCACAGCAAACAGTCGCGCTCACGGTGGTGTATCAGATGGCGCTAAGAAGGGCATAAAAAAAGGACGAAAAGGCGGTTTTTGTAATATATTTTTATTTTGTCTCACAATATTTATACTGACGCGAGATTTCTTGTGATGTCGTCGACGAGCAAATCTCCCAATGTGACACTTGTTTATACCATAAACATCCCTCAAGTCCTTCCCAGCATTGAGAATAATTTAATTAAATCCATCCGTGGGAAGTGTGATAAAGTATTCTACTCGTTTCATGTCCCAGATTAAGAGACAAAACCCAAGAAGAAGTATTAAATTCGGGGCATTTCCAAAATTAAAATCTGCGGCAATGACATCCATTCAATTCCATCCCCAAATGTCAGCCAAGGATGTGGAGAAACTTTCAATAAATTCTCCTGATTTTGCCCATCCTTCGCCACACAAACTCTGCGGGAAGCGAAACTCCAGCATGGCTTTGAGACTCCATGGGGAAAATGGGCGGGAGAGACTGGGAAAAATGGGGACACGAGGAAATAGAGAAATGCTCCTTAAATGGACCATTTTCAGGATAGCACAAGACAGGATTTGCAGTGCAAAGAATATGTGCTTATTTTCATAAATTTCTCCGCTACATTAGGCGGTAATGCGATGGCGAAAGTCCCTTAAAGTGTTCGGCAAAGAAATTATGAGCTTCCTTGAGAGCTTCCTTTGGGAATTATTTCATATAAATTTGAATAACAAAGATGGGATATTTTTGCGACTGAATAGAAAACTATGAAAAGTCAAAATTGCCATTTATCTCGCGGTTTCCTCAAAAATCCTTCCAATCCTTCATTAAAATGCTAATATTACTGTGTAATAATTATTTTCTGAACGTTTCAGTTTTTTTTATTGGTTATTTATTGACTTTTCAGTCAATTTTTAACAATCTTCTAAAAAATCGACTTTTTAGTCTTAAATCCCCCTTAAACATATTTAGGGGGATTTTTTGAGTAAACTCTTCATAGTTTTCGATTCACTCGTCGATTTATGTTGAACTTTCTTCCTTCTTCGGAGTTGAAAACATTAAGTTGACAGAATTTCTGCTTGCGGCAAAAGTGTCTCTGAATTGTAAGCAAACAATAGTGATGGAAATTGAAGAGAAATGCTTGATTGAAAGCTCTCTTCGGAGGTTATTTTTCTCATCAAAGAAAAACACACACACACACACAAGCGGAGACTTCTTATCGGCGCATGGAGGAGAAGAAGAAGTGAAAAAAAAACCGATTAAGACGGGAAAGTGAAACAAGGAAAAGTACTAAAGAGAGACTCGGCGTGTGAAAAATACGCTGATGCCAAGAGTTGACGCGATTGTCAAGTTTTCCTAAAATTCCACCCGGCTTGAGATGAAATGTCTGTTCTTTATTATTTGCCTGAAAAACTGGATGACTTTTTTCTGGTGTTTCTGTGTCGATCGGCATTGCTTTTTGAAACTTTTATCCTTCCGCCAAACTTTCTCAACCATGAATTCATTGTGACTTTGCCGCGTGTTCAATCTCAAATCAACGTAGCCCGAAAAAGGTTGAGTCTATCAAAATGTGGTGTGCGGCCTTTTGAGGGAGGGAAAATTCCAGGGAATTTTGGGAGATTTGCCACAAAGCTCAGGGAAAAGCGCGCGCGCGTGTCTCAGACGGGGATTTTGGCGAATCTGCTGGACAGATTGTGGCCCATTGAAAAGTCCTCACAGCGTGACAGCTGACCCGAAGCTAATCCCATTGGAGGATGACCACAAACTAAGGGCCAGAATTTCCATGCTTTTCGCCCCCGCCGTGCATATCTCAGACGATAAATCAAAATGCTATTTGGCCATTTTATATGCCCATTTTACCCTCTGGGAGTAAAGTAAAAAGGATACAGAAAATCCTGCCGGTGCCACCCATCTGTGGGTCTCGCAATCATTAAATACTCCCTCCCCCTTTGGAAGCAGAGAAGGAGGGATAAGTAACCCTTTCAGTCATACTTCTCCATAGTGAAACTGATCCCTTCTCTCTCTCTCTCTGGCTGTTTGATGAGAAGTTGAGTGACTCTCACTTGAAACCATCAATCAGGATGCTTTTAGAGTAATTCAATAGATCAGATCAGCAAATATCAATGTATTCCCTTCCATGTCATCCAATGCATTTTATCCATGAACTCGTAATTTGTATTTGCTCTGCAGCATTGTGAATATTTGCATTACACCATTATCTCCCAAGTTCCGCGATATGTTACAACATGATGCTTAAGCATGAGCAGAAATTCAAGCGATACTCTTCCATTATGTGTGTGTGTCCTTAATCAGGAAGCAGAGAAGCGAAGGAAGAAGTTCTCCACCTCTTCTGACTTGCTTTTTCCCCTCATTCACTCACATAAGAGTCTCATTTATCCATCAAATCGTGAATCAGCCTCCCCAAAAAGTGGCCCGATAATGGGAAGACACACGCTGAGGGAGTTTGAATTTGCATTGCATAATCTTTCTGGGGGGAAATCAATTTGCAGAAAATCCTCCTTAATTTACTGCCAAGTCACTCAATTAAAATCTTTGGCAACATTGCGAGGAGTTTTATCAGTTTGACTAACAAGGAAAGTTCGTTAAGTTCAGTAGTCTTGATTGGAGTTGTTCTTCTTCTTCAATTGCAGCTGAGCGAGGATCTTGGCTATGTGCTGTACTCAGCCCTTGGCTCCTTCTACATCCCCAGCTGCATCATGGTGTTCGTGTACATCAGGATCTACTTCGCTGCGAAGCGGAGAGCGCGACGCGGCATCAAGAAACCGCCTAGGAAGTCAGCCACGAATGAGCAGGTAAGAATCCGCGCGACTTTGATGGTGTTTGAGAGCTAGAAACCACGCATTTCTCCCACCCTGATGCAGGTGACCAGCTTCACGACCAGTCCATGCAAAGCCGGGACACGTCCAATGCCCTCAGTGCCTAGTACGGCGCCCAACACGCCGGTACAAACGCAGCCCGACCCGCCAAAGCTGCAGCCCTCGATCGCGACGATCGAGGCGCGCGCCAACGCGGCCAACTCGCCCTCCGTCATGGCCATCCCCAACATCACGTGCGACTTCGCGTCGGACGTGTCCACGAGCGAGGCGTGCGACGCCGTGGATCCCAACTACGGCAAGGACACCCTCAAGGTCAGCACGATCGTGACGACGCACGCGCCGGGCATTCGCGCCTCGTCAAATGGCACGGCGTCCAACGACATGCCGACCACGGTCGGCCGATGCAGGGCCCTGTCCGTGGGCATCGACACGGACATGGTCAGTGAATTCGATCCGTCGAGCTCGGACTCGGGCGTGGTGAGTAGATGTGCAGTTGTAAAACCACTTAAGATGAAACTTTGTCAACCAATTTTCGGGAAAAAGAACCACCGCAAGAAGGACCCGCAAAAGCACACCCAAATTCACATGCACAAGCCCTCCGTGGGCGCCATGGAGCTGGAGCCGGCGATACCCAAGATCCAGAAGCAGCGCGATCCGGAGAAGGAGAAGCGACGCATCGCAAGGAAGAAGGAGAAGCGCGCCACGCTGATTCTCGGCCTGATCATGGGCAGCTTCATTGCCTGCTGGCTGCCCTTCTTCTTCCTCTACATCCTCACGCCGCTGTGCACAAAGTGCCAAATACCCGAGTCCGCCTTCGCCATCGCCTTCTGGCTCGGCTACATGAACTCCGCCCTCAATCCCGCCATCTACACCATCTTCAACAAGGACTTCCGGCGCGCCTTCCGCCGCATCCTCTTCAAGTGATGTTTGGCGTACGTGTGCTGCTACCGTTGCGTCTACAGGAGCATCGAAAAGGCTACCGAACGGGCAATGGGCAGCACACCGATGGGCTATGGCGGCTATCTGGCGCGCCGCTAGACTCCCGCCGCACAACAACCCCATCCGCGGAGGTCCCAAATCCCCCCCACCCCCCTGTGATTCAACCCCCTCCCTCGAGAGCGGACCTCCAACTCTAGGCTAGCGAACTCGTCAAATTCTGTGTATCTGCGTGGAAGTGCGTGAATGCGTGATAGCCAAAGGTGAGATTGCTCTTAGACATAATTCTAACATCCAGCAATAAATAGAGATCATGTTGAGTTGTAACAGAGACATATTAAACATTAAATAGTTGAGCATATATAGAAGAATCTAAACACCAATTACCGTAGTTAAATATTCCTTAGCTAAGTCTCGTATTGAACTTTGAATTTAGAGATGGTTAATGCCAAAAAAAGAGAGCAAAACTTATACAAAGATGGTTTCCACAGTAATATATATATATAGTGTACAGGATTATCTCCGCAGGAGGATGCAAGAACCTCTCTTATCAGTGTTTATCGAAGTCTATTTAAATGTTATGGTATTGTCAAGCGGGAGATAATACGGCTAAGCAGTGTACACCACTTCCAGACACTTCTTAACGTCCTTAAAATGCATTTTCCATCACTTTTTTGACTCCATCAACTATTTTTCGCGCTCAATTCTGACTTATCACACAATGTTTTAAAAAAAAAGTTCGGAATAAATTGTGAGGTTATGAATTTTGCTTCAAAATATGCTTTAAGCCTGGAACGGAGTAAATATGGCGAATATCACAATGTTTCCACTAAAAAATTTGCGTTAAATTGACCACTTTAGAGCACAAAACGCAGAAATAACTAAACAAAGAGAATTCTCTGAGACTTTTTTGAGGTTATGTTTAATCTTAAGTTTTTTTCGAACGCAAAAGCCTAATTTTGGCCAAGAAAAGAGAAGAATTCTGAGTTTATACACAAATTAGATGATTTTGAGGATTATTTTATCACATAACCTAAAAATAAAGCGATCAAATTGTTTTTTCTAGGCAAAATTATTTTGAAAAATGCCTCAATTTGATGAAACTGAAGTTTTTGCTGTGCAAATATTCTTGTACAGTAAAAACCGCGAAAATAACCAAAGCAAAGAGATATGTTTCTGCATTTTAGTGATATTTTTGAGGTTATGGTTGACTCTTAGACTGTTTCTTAAACAATATGAAGCTTTTTCGCACTAAAATACTCAAATCTGCCAAGAAACAGAGAAATTTGCTAATTAAATACGTTTTAAATTAATCACATAACCTAAAAAAAGCAATAAAATTGATTTTTAAGCAAAATTTATTAGGAAAATGCCTCAATTTGGTTGAAATGGAAGCTTTTTCAGAGCAAATCTTCTAACAGATTTTACTACTTCCACTTCTATACACTTCCTCTCAAGCTGTACACCACTTCTGACCATAATATCTCCCCCTTGGGTATTGTAGGCAAGGCGCAGAGGATGTTATGACGCAACATTTCTCCCCCGCGGAGAGTCATAAACGAAGTGTAGAATATTTGCATAATAAACATATTGATGTTTAGGCCATAAAAATGAAATTCTCGATAGATTGACAACTTTTGTTGATTTTTTTTATCGATTTTTCTTACATCTCAATTTCTGTTGGATTTGTACGACATTGTAAAGAAAGAAAAAAGCGTTATTTCTCATGCACACAAGAATGTGTGCATTTGAAGCTCATCTTCCAGAGTGTGTTGAAAGACAGATTAGAGATATAATATATATTGTGTAGGATAATGTAACATGCATATATAGATAACTTGGAAATCTAATATACTACTATCTGTGTTCAGATAGGTTTAGGCGTGTGATGATGCAAAATGGTGGGTTTTTGCGTGAGAGATTTGGAGGCAAAACGTGTAACAACAATGACATAAATTCTGTGATAATTTAAAAAAAAAAGAGATGAACTCTATAATGTTCTTTGTATATAAAGCATAAATCTCATGAAACACACTCTCCATATTCTCAACCCTGTACAAACATCTCTTGGGTTTTTTTTTCCTTGTGTTTGCCAGAGGATGACAGTTCTGGAGAGAGACACAATTTCATGGCATTCTCTATCCCATCTGCAGAATGTTATCACGAGCCCCGAAGGATGGCAAATGGTAGCAACAATAATACTCTGTGTGTGAAAAATCAAACAATGCACAACTTGGTCCTGATACGACCGTAGTTTGGCAGAGAACTACCGGCAAAAAAATGGCGACAGAGAAGATGACGCCAGCGGAGGAGTTCGAAAAAGTTTTTTTTAAGGCCAAAACAGACGCTGTCATCCTTGAATTTCACTCCCCTTTTCCCACCCTCGCCATTCCGTCGAAAGTCGATTCGCTGGTGGGCTTAAGAAGGCACAATTTCACCCCCCACATAAACGCCTCGAGGCTTTCCGAAATTTCCGTACAACTAATTTCACGATTTTTATATATATTTTCTTAGGATAATTTAACCCAGCAAAAGAAAAAGGAGAAAAGAATTGCGATAAAAAAAATATTTGGTAGAGAAAAGATAACGCATCGTGCGGGATTTTAGGGCGAAATGGAATATGTTTAGGTAAGGATAAAAGGAAACCAATTTGAAATTGAACATAATATATATATATATATATATTAGATAAGAGGGAGTTTTCACAATTTCACCCGCAATTTATCAAATTGAGAAACAAAGGATAGAACCTCCTAATCTGCGTGATTTTATAAGTCATATTGTATAGGATTTGTGTATCTAATGGACACTCCCTTTTTTCCTCCTCTAGGACAATTGTACATAGGCTGCTTATAAGGCATATTTTTGATGTGAGTTGTAAGTGTAGTTAAAGAAATTTCAACTCTCTTAGGAATGTTAGGCAATCGACACGCCAAGTGTGAATCTTGAGGACTCTTTTCTCTCTCTCTCTCTCACTCCTAAGAAGGCGCACAAGGCGCACACATGAAAGGGATGCCTTTCGTCCTCACTTTGTCTCGTACGATTGAAGACAGGCGAGCAACATTACAGGAAAATATGAAGTTATATATTGACTTGATTTGAGGGTGGGACACGCCCTTCCCTTTCCCCTTTTCAGGGAAAACCGTCACGGAGACGCGACAGGACGAGATGGGCTTTCGTCATGGGAAAGCTTACAGGTTGATAATCAAATGAATTGCAATTAAAATTGTATGTATTGATTAACAGGACACGAATGGCAAATATTTTAACGCACAAAAGTCCTTAAGTTCTTCTTTCATCTGGGAAAACTGTGTTTTGTCTATTTGGCCCATCTCTGGATTGAAAGCATTGGGGAAGTTGGATTACAATGGAATTCCTTACAATGGGGGTGGGGGAGGGTGTATTTTAGCGATGAAGGATAGCAAAAGGAAGGCAAATTAATCAGAATTGTGTACCGTAAAAGACTGAGTTGCGTAAAACACTGTGTAAAAAAAAATTCCTCCTTTATATTTATGTGTGTAAATACTCGAAACTCTCAGCTGAGACAAGGAATTGACTGGTGGCGGAGGAGAAGAGATTTTCCCAATGATGAGGGAAAGCGAGGAGAGTCGAATTGAGATCAAAGGGAGCGGAGAAATTGTTGACATAGGCATCAGAAGGAAGCATATTTCTTTTCTCTTCCAAGATATGCGCGAGATTGTTCTTGTGACAAAGAAACAACATCACATAACTATATATAAACAATATTTGTTCACATTGCTGTACAATCATTTCATTGGCAACTTGCAAAATGAGACAAACACACACACATGTCATGAGCACACAAGGAACCGCCGTCAAATTCATTTGGTGACACACAAAGAAAACCCCACAAGATCTCCGATTTTAAAGGAGCAATGCGGGAAGGAGAAGGCAATGCATCAGACGAGTATGATTACCCATCAGAATGTACGAGGGGAGCATCTTCCGGCATCCCAGGACGCCGAGGATAACCCTATTTTTGGGAGAAGAAACGGAAATTCCCGCGGAGAAAGACAAGCGTTTAAACTCACCCCCAAAATAATTTCAACTGCGGGACGAAAGACTCTCTCTCTCTCCCTCCCTCTCACTCTCTCTCTCTGTGCACAAAAAGCAGGACTATATAGAATCAATTTCACGGGAGAAAATTCCTCACAAACGAGACAATCACGCGTTGATTCTGCACAGCGAACAAATCACCCGAGGTGGAAAATCTATTTCGGCGCCCAACTCCGCACGCATTTGCACATTTCACCTCATATGATGTCGCCGGTGACGTATGAAGGCAGATTCTTCCATGTATCGCTGGCACACGTACCATTTCATGATTCTCAACATGTTCCATCTACTCTGCTTTAATGGCATTTTATGCTCATGAAGGTGCGTCCTCGCCATCTCAACTTTCACCCAAGATCCACTCGAATGCCTCGCCATAGAGTTGACACACTTGTAGATTTCTGTAGCACAAACTGATGCCAGAGAATGGACTTGCTCTGATCCCTCGAAATTTATTAAATTCCCCCGGACGGAATTATGCAAAAATCACCCTATTTTTTCGTGTCGTTTGAAAGTGTCGAAAATCGACACTGTATTTCTCTTAATGTTTTCATCGCCAAATGACGCGAAATACTGCATAGAATCGTCACTTAAGCTTTTCTTAACTGTTTAAGTGCTTTTTACTGGAGATTTTGTGGAAATTAAGCGAATTTTTTGATAAAACTTACGTAAAAAACAGTTTGTAACCATTTCTTCATACAAATTCACCGCGAATCTATTTTATTCTCTTCAGGGAACAATCTCATAGCTTTTTCCCATCCCCAAGGCGACTTGTTCTCGCGATTCATGGAGAAAGTGGGAAACATAACCTCAAAATTGCCTTTAAAATTGCGTTTCTCGAGTTGGAATTTTTACGTCAAATTTCCATTGATTGAGGTTGAATTTCGCTGCATTTTCTCCACAAAATAGGGCAA